ATACAACCTTCTTGATCATCAATAATTAATTAAAAAACCTCATGCGTTGTTCACAAGGGTGTTGGGATTTAGATTTGTTGACCGCTACGTGGTAAGGAGGTGCATCCACTATTAGATATATTTTATAGACCTAGAGTTTGCCTAATCAGTTCCTTAATGAACTGGGACAATATCACTTTTTTCAAAAGGATGAAAGCGACAATATTTCTTTAAACAGTCAGAAGGAAAATTATTGTGTTTGGTAAATCCTGATTTTAGGATTATAAGTTTGAGAATCCATTCTACGAGCCGCCCAATATTCTGGCGTCTGCCAGCCATGAAAATGGCACAAGGGAACTATCAATGAAGGCAGATGGTTGATATAGCAACGCTTTGACTGTCTGGATTGAGGTGAGTAGCCTTGAAGAGACCTAATAAGTTGAAACTGTTTCAAATATTTGCTGGTTAAAATAGTTGCCTTCGCTAAAGAGTAAAGCACTTATAACTAATAAAAGAAGAAGTTCGAAGTGGCACTTAACACTTGACGGCAAATTGAAGCAATAGCTTGAATCAACAATCTTATTGTCATTTTCCGTACTCACTTTCTTCTTAACGGGGGCTCCGTGGGTTCATGGTTTAAAATTGACAACCAACGTTCTCGGAATGTATTGTTATTTTCATGTAATCCGATTGGTCAACTTATAGTAGTCGCACAGTAACAGACAGCAGCGTCCACTATATAACCGTGCGAACTGTACGTCCGTTTAAACGATTCAAAGTTGCTCTTGTCCTTATTGCCCTAACTGGACGCCCTTGTCTGAAAGCTAACAAGTCAATACAAACTTTTTATTTATCGGTATATTTGATGTTATTTTCCAGGAGATCACTCGTTTGTCTTTCAAAGTGTGCATCAAAGACAGTCAGGGAATGAGCAAGTCTCACGATCCAGTTACAGTGGACTACGCTATAGTGGGAGGTACATTACTCTTATATTTGCTTATTCTTTAATTTCAAAGATTTGTCTCTCATACCGGTTCGTCCTACTATCAAGGAATTTTGACGTTGGGTCAAACGCTGAATTGAAGAAATGAACTCGAATAAGAATAAAGTCAGGCAATTGGCACTGTAAAAAACTATGATCAAATGGCGAAGAAAGAAGTTATAAAAAATGGCGTTTAAATATTAAAGACAACATCGTATTGATCGTCTTATTATCTGGGTGAACAATAACTGCAGCAGTGTACCTCTTTTTCAGGCGTTTTTGTAGAAAAAGTAACTTCCCCTTTCCTATCCTTTTTTGCCATAAATTTTCTGCACAGGAAAATCAAAGCAAAATTTCAAAATATCAAAAAGCAGTTGCGCTCTCAAAAGATGGAGGACGTCAGATCA